AGACTTGAAATAGGCAGAAAGATGGCTGGAAGAGTCCTGCTACATCCTGAACATCCACTATTTACTGACTCATCTAGCAGAGATGTTAGAGCTGCTCTTAAGGGAGAGAGATGGTGCAATTTGGTGGGATTGTGTAAAGACGTATGTGGAAAGCTAAGCAAAGGGACTAATAGCTCTACCTAAGCATGTAGACTCCCTACTACAAATAAAGCATATTTTATAGTGCTTATAGAAACAAGATTATGAGTGTCCAGTTCAAATTTCCTGCTGTAAAATAAGGCAAGCAATAAGATGACATTTCCGAGGGTACAGGTAAGACAGGACCACAGGATGAACAAAGGTGCACATTCCACCTTACCCTGACTTCCCACTAGTAGCTCCATCCCCATTAGGACAGTCATCAGTGCTCACTTCAATGCTCCTTCATCTTCTAGGAACACAGCCTTGTAACCAGTCCCGAAACAGAAGTGAGGCTGTCTGACAAGCCTTGCATAGAAGTGGGATACAGTGAGTGGCAGCTGGCCTCCCGTCATGTCAACATTACTGCTAGAGAGGGCCTTCTACCAATTGTTAGATTCCTGCGTGACTCTAAAATAAATGAACTCAGGGTGGCTTATATGCAGGCTGATTATTTCTGTCTGCAAGAGATACAGTGAAATCACTGGATGAGATTATATTTATAACCGATAAGCATAAAAAACCTTCCAAAAACATTAAGTTTTTAATAGTAAATAGACTCACCCCTAGGCTTTTCCCTTCTTTAAGGTTTGTCACTGCTGTTCCTATAGCTGGATTTATCATTGTTGGATTTCCTTGACCCAGCTGATTGCTGGAGAAGATTTCTGGAGATGTGTAGAAAGAAACTTGCCCTCTCTGTTCTTGGTATCCTGTATTTACAAAACCCAGAGGTTGCTGAGGCCTAGGAGCCATGGAGTCTGTTGGTGGGTAAGGATTGGGAACGCTGGGGTAGGTTGGCCTGGAAGACTTCATTATATCCTAAGCAGTACAAACATACAAAAGGAACACACTTACCAAGAAAATAAAGGAAGGAAACATCTTGCCAAATGCCAATTGTTTATGCAAATAGAAGAGAGGAAGTGAGCAGATACCAAGCAATGAGAAGCAACATTCATAAGACTCTTATATACCTGGAACCCTGGGGTTCAAAAGAAGTGAAGGAGGGGAAGGCAGGAGTACATTTAGTTTTCAGTCCTTCCTGTTTAGTCCAGTAGTGTGTGTTTGTGTATATGTGTGTCTGTGTTTCCTGAGTTCATTGCTTTGAAGGGTCAGCACAAGGCAGGAAGGGACTGATTCTGTGCGTAGACAGTCTAAATAAGTGCTTGTATTGGAATGCCAGTGGTTCATTTGTGTAGTTCCTACAAGTATAGAGGATGAAAATAGCCCTCCTCCTGCTCTTTTGACATTTGTCAAGTGCAAGAAAATGATTTTCAGAGGTGCCAAAGCTAAGGGCACTGCAAACAATGGCTTTGATGTGTAGTGGTTTCTTTTTTTCTTTTTTTTTTTTTTTTTTAATTCTTCAGGATTAGTAGTTATTAGTAGGATTGTTGTTCCTAGCTAGTTGTGCAGGTTTACTTCCAACAAAATCCCTTGTCCACATGGGGCCTGAAATGCTCAGAGTAGTTTATTTAAGAGGAGAGTCAACATCCATGGCCCTCTGTAAGCTATCTACTTTTCCATTTACTAACAATTTTAGTTTTTGATTTTTTTTTTAAACAGGTTCTCCCTATAGTCCCAGCTGGCCTGGAACTTGGCTAAGCTGGCTTTGATCTCACAGCAATCCACCTGCCTCTGCCTCCCAAGTGCTGGGATTAAAGGCGTGCGCCACCATGCCCGGCTACTAACAATTTTTATCTTGGTCTGCCTTCCTTGTCCTCCAATTGTATCATTAGTTCTAGTATAGTTTACTACTGTTGCCCTGACAAATTAGCAGTAAGTTAGCAAGGCTCTCCTCAGCTGGCTTCAAATGAGTTCTCTAGAATAATAGCTATTTAAACACTATAGGGTTGCTGTGGAATAGGGTTAGTAACTAGCATCAACGGGGTTAGAATCCTTGCTCTGATACCAGTTATATATTTGACAAGTTTGTTGATCTTTCTTTGCCATTATCTGTCTGAAAATTTTGCTAAAAGCAGTAAAAGAATACCTTCTAGTGCTACCTGGAATGCCTCCTTTTAACACTCAAGCAATAGTTGAAACAGAAGCGATGTATTCTGAGGATCCGGTTTCTGAGATCTGAATATTGTTCCAGTTCTTTTCAAATCTCCAGCCTATTCCATTAACTCTGCTGCCCTGAACAGCTGTCTTAGTTAAATCTCTGTTAGTTCCTGCATCCCAGGACAAGTGAGAGATGAAGTCATTTAAGGGGCTGATATAAAGATCAAATGTTTACAATTTACATAAAGCTGTTGTAAGAGTTCCCAGCCTAGGACAGTAGACTGATAAAGAGTAGTTCCTATTGTGGTGTTAGAACCCCAAGTCTGCTATCTTATTTCAAGTAGCAGACAAATATCCATTTGGTTAAAAGGGTTGAACTTTAAAAGTTCAATGCCAAGAGCAAGGAGATAGGAGATGGGGGTGCAGTAAAGAATCAGAAGAAAAAGTTTCTTGGGACTTAAAAAATATACAATTTAATGTTTGTAAAAAAAGACCTTTGTAATTGATCATTGTACATTTTTTTTGTCTCTGAGAAATTTGTTAAGAAAATCTCAAGACTTATCAACAATTTCTCATTTCCTTTTATAAATTTTATTATTTTTATTTTATGTCTGAGTGTATTGCCTGCATGTGTGTAAGTGCACCCATGTCATACAATGCACACAGAAGTCAGAAGAGGTTGTCTGGTCCCCTGGAACTGGAGTTACAGACAGTTGTTAGTTACCATGTGGGTGTTGGGAATTAAACCCAGGTCTTCTGCAGGGGCAGCCGGGGCTTGTAACCCTGAACCATCTCTCCAGGCCCCAGTTTCTCATTTCTTTTATTTGATTTCTAGACTGAGTGATGTAAGTTTCAAACAGATCACAGACTATTAATAGCTAACTCTGTAGAGACCACAATGACTCTCAGAATGTATTTTGGGGGGGCGGGGGCAGGTCAGGTTCTAGTTTTAGAAAAAATATTAAAGTAGAGGTCTAGCTCCAATCCACACCAGGGTAACTTAATGTATAAACACTGTTGTGCTGGGGGTGGGGACAGTTGATTATCCAATGACGATGAAGAGGATACAAGAGAAACCAGTGAATCCTGTGACAATCTGTTTTCATAAATTCCTTCTATCGACTTCATACACTTTTTTTTCTCTTGGCAACCGATAAGATATTTAACATCATGTGTTGTTTTTTTCTTTCTAAAAATAAGAACAACTACAACAATTTTTTAAGCCCAAGAAAACATAGTATCAAAGGTCTATTGATTAGTGTAGGGACCAGAGTAATAGGAGAAAAACTAGCCATTTTACCCTTTGATTTGGTAATTTAAAATAAACATTGGAAAAACTACTATTGCAGTTGCTTTCTACCTCTTTTCCATACTAACTTTACTTTTAACAGAACAAAGATGATACCTCTTTTAGATGTATTATAGCCCACGAACATAAAATGATACCTCATAATGACTCATAATCATTTGCAAAGAATTGAAAGGTATGTCTGAAGACACACAACCTTTCTGAAAATAAAAATAAATGCTGACCCATTGAAGAGTGATTGCCTCAATTATTTGCCAGAAAGAGACACCTTTAGTAAAGTGTATTTAATAAAACAAGCCCTTCAGTGTGTCTGCTGGTCTGTGGTCCTTCCAAATGATCACCAAGAGCTCCTGCTTGTGAGTTACTGTTGATGGAATTTCATTCATCTGCACCAACTGCTCTTGGCTTTAGCTTTTGCTATCTTCTTGCAGTGATTTTAACCCATTTTGTAATAACTGATGTTTCCTTCCTCTCTTAGTTTCCTTTGCCCTCATGTATCTACTGGTCTTAACAGAGATTCAAGAACTGGATGCAGCTGTGAATCCACGGAGACAGACCAGAACCCACTAGACAGAAACAACCCCCACCCCCACCCCTGTGCCCACTAAGACAGTGAATACTTTCGGTGGACTCACTCAGCTCTCTCGGTGCCTCTGGGTTTTCTCTGTCTCAGCTCCAAGCTCTGTTCAGTCTCAGAACTGTATCTGGATTTTATATGTGCTTTTTACTTCCTTGCTTGAAACCAACCTATCTCCCATCTTTATGTAATTCCAAAGTCCATTTATTGCTTATTTTCACCCTATTTATAAATTTGGGAATGTGTTGTGGATTTTATTTTCCTCTGGGATCTGGGAAGCCTGTTCTGACATCTCCAGACACTTTAATGTTCATTTCTCCAGCCCACTTTGTGTTCTCTGACCCTCTCTAACGTGATACCATATTATATTCTAATGTCCTTTAAATTAGATAAGCAAAATTGTAAAATGCAGACAATAAAGAAAAGAAAGAAGAAGAGGGAAAAAGCACTCATAATCCTAACACCTAAACTTCATCACTGAGGCTATTTCATTTAGATTTATAAACTTTTATATGTCAGGATTCATTTTACATAGAGACATATGATTTTGTAAAATCAAATTAAGATATGTAATCCATTTTTAGCATAATGTCTTATAAACACTTTTTAAGTCATTAAATCTTTATTATAATTCTTAATACTAGTATCATATTGTATATTATAACAATATAATTGAGGCATCGTATTGCTTTCCAATTATTAATTATCAGACATGTCTCACAAGTACAAATGAGTGTCCTAAGACCAGACATCTGACACATATCCTTACCCCCAAGCCCCTAGGCTGACACATTTCATACAGGGTAAGATCATTAACTGTTTGTTGAATAAGTTAGTGGAGTGAGTGGAGTGAGTACTGATTGTTCTTAAAAGCTTGTCTTTTAATTTAAAATTTTCTTCCACCTCTAATTTTTTTTGTGGCTATTTTTTTGATGGCTATTTTTCTTTTGTGGATTTATATTTATATATTTTTTATAAAGTACAGAAAATGATGCCAGAGAATTGTTCATGTTATATACTTTAGAAAATGACAGTTTCAGGCAGTGCCCTTGCTCAAAGGCTGGACATAAAAGAATAAGAGGTCAGCATTGTTTGAGGAAGACCAAGGACTCACAGTTGCTGTCTTGGAAAGTACCACGCAGTCAACCTGATTCGTGACAGTGGGGCGGCAAGGAAAGAAAGGGGAAAGGGAATGGTGATCTTTAAGTCCCAAATAACCACCTTCTGCTGGCCTTCCAGACTCACCCCGGGCAGCAAATTTTCTTCACAGGACATCTGCAATGTTCTCTCACCTTCCTGGTTTTGTAACTGTGCAGTTGGTGTGGTGTGCCTCTTTCATGTATTATTATAATGTATTAGTCATCTAAATTCCTGAAAGGCAGGATAATATAGCATTATTTCCTAATCTCTTTTATAGCCCTAGCCTAAGAATATGCTTGTAAAAGAGTTAAACATTAATGAAGATGACTGATGTCAGTAAACATCAGTTTGTGATGTAAAATGTTTTCTTCCTTTTTTATAAAAACAGAAAATTTCTTTGCCAAACCATTATGGAGCTCATTAATCATAATTCTGAAACATGGGTCTTTATGGTCTACCAGTGTTCTAGAAATGTTTTCCTTATATTTCAGTGGCATCACCAACTAGCTGGGAAAAGTTAGACCCGCGGTGGCATCCTGTAGGTTTCAGAGGCATGACTGGGAAGATCTTCAGCAAGCATGAAGATGGTGCCAGCAGGCAACATACAACCAAACAAGGACGGCTTGCTGACTCCTGCTTTTATGACTACTCTGTGACTATAACAGAAGTTAATGTTTACTAGGACCTGATGATCTGACAGAACTAGTTCTAAGACTTTTGTAGATTTACTTTTTAAAAGTGAGTCACAAGGAAGTAAACTAACTTCCTCAGGGAAGTACTGTTAATACA